ATCATGCATGAAGTTGTAGATGAATCACTGCGTAAAATATGTCACTATCAATAGAATGTACCGCAGCATTGTTATCTTTTAGATACCCTAGTCTATGTTTTACTTTTCATTTTCACTAGTATAATGTACCAGACAGACACTACACCGCAATCAAACGCTAAATGACTGTGGGATGTGAACAGCAGAGAGTACCCAATCGATGAAAATCGATGATCGGAAAAGCAATCGATCAATCGATCAATCGTTACCAATCGATGCATGTTAGTTAATTGGCATCGATTGGTATCGGCTAATCGATGACCAATCAATAATCACACAAAAGTAGTCACGAATCATCGATTGCGATCGATAATAAAAATTGGGCTTTAAGAGCTTTTCCTGATCAAATAGTTTGCTGCACTGTCTCATCAGCTGAATAGTTGCGTCGTCCCGAGATTTGACCGACAGTTAACACTCGACCAATTAATAAAGCGCAAGTGTACAGGTGATTAATGTGCAAATTTATGTCATGATTCCACTGCGTTTTGTAGCGTTCGCGCTACAACCAACTGCGATGTTGATCACTCTGAGAATGACTTCGAAATGTGGTGAAATGCGTACACGGCTCTTAGAAAAAACGATGATCGCACGGGCGATTTTGAGTTGCACCGCTAGCGTAAAAAAAGAATTACAACAATTCATAGCATAAATCATGACAACAGCTGCATAAAAAAATCGCCTTTTTATAAAATTGTTTACAGGTTATTCTCTAGATGTTTGAGGATCCAAAGTTCAATTTTATTGTACGTTAATAATATTAATTGTTGTAACTTTGAAAAGACGCACGTTAACGCTGTGCAGCTTTCCGTAAACTTTGTTCAGTTAAGCTAATTATCAGTGTTCTATAAAACCTGATCTTCTTCCGATGTCCTAGATTGTCATTGTTTTAATCATTACAATACATCAAGAGACTGTGGCCCTTTAGAAATCGTGACCGGCAAATTATCTATCAACAATCGATGGCAATCGATGCCAGTTAATCGACCATTAATATTGATAATCGATGAAAATCAATGCAAATCGATGAAAATTGATGACAATCGATGACAATCGATCACGCCAACCTGGAAGATCGATTGCTAATCGTTTTTCAATATCAATCGATTAATTGGCATCGATTGCCATCGATTGCCACTGATTGTCATCGATTATCGATTTCATCGATTGGTTACGCCCTGGAACAGCAGTAAAGCGGAGGCAAGTCCAGAATTTTACTCACGGTAGCGTGTTACTTTCTGCGTGCGCCCGAAGGCTGGTCTGAAAGTAAAAGGAAAGGTTGATAAATATAATGTAAAATATAATGTAAAAGTGTACGTTGCTTGATCATCCAAATCACCCTGTGTGCTATGCTAAAAATGTACAGAGAAAAAGCGCTGTCAATAGGAAATCACTGGGGCAACTGTTATAAATAGATTAGTCTATTATACACTGTTCAATAGGAGAATCCATGCTGGCCTATTGTTCATTAAAAGACTTCTCAGGTGGTTATTGTTTAGCAAATGAGAGCGATCAGTACCAAAATATTAACAGGGACCTGAACATTTCACAGATCTTTCTTAGGACCTGCAACCTTGTACCTCTTCGAAATAATGAAACATTGAATCGACCGGTGCTTAGCTATTGAATTAAAGGTAAGTTCGATATTATTATTGAAAGTGAAAGGCAATCATCACTTAAGTACCATATGCGACGAGATTATTTGTAGTGCTCATTCACACGATGTACATGTACACGTAAATTGTTACATCAGCAAATCGTGATTCATCATCATTGCTTGTTATAGTTTAGTGAGCAGAACTGACGAGTAACACCAACGTCGTGCAATGCATGAATCTACAAGAACCAAACAAGATGCGTGTTAATCGTGCCACACGTAGCGCAATGAAAGCCTGTTGTGACTGTTGTTGGTTCTCGCGATCTCTTTGATTACAGTTTTTAACGTCACGGTTCTTTCACTTTGTTTTTCTTAGTCTCGTTACATCTTAGTAAAACTTATCAAAACATTTTGCTAAGTCAAGACCGATTGACTGGATAATGTACGGTACCAGGTAAATTGTCATTGTTGGCGGGTTCTTGGAACGGGTTGAATTTCAAAACAAGAAGTTTCATCTCAGCCAAGTACAATAATTAACGTACTCGCAGCCTGCAATTGCATTAACTGATCTGTTACTTGAAGACCGTTTGGAAAATTTTCAGTTATTCTGCAGTGATTAACAGATGAAATATTTAAATTTACATGCTTACGTTGTGCATTGCATGAACATTCCTGAATACATCCGATACGCGTAAACAATAACTCTAGTCTACCGGATTCTAGAACTTCGATATTTTTGTTCCCCTTAGATTGCAAATATTAGACTTACGTATTTTGAAAATGTTTACAAATTAAACCTAACCAGGCGAGCATCGTAAATCAAAAGGCCTATAGGAAGACTAGGATCGTCTAAAAACATCCCTTCAGGCTATAGTAGGACGGATATATCCAAGTTGGCAGGGGAGAGTGGTGGCAAAGCGAGGACATTAGAGGTTGCAAAAAGATTGGGGGTGGGTGATTGGAGGGTATCGATACAATGACTTTTCCTAATGTGTTTCTCAGTTCAGTATGGAAGTAGGCCGGGATCGGTTCGAGGTTAGGAACAGCCAATTTGCTTTCCACTTTTACCCCTTTGTCCCCTCAGCCTCCTGATTGACGAAATTTATGCCGAAGGCAGTGACTGTAGCCTACAGGAAGTCGCTAGCGTTCTTAATATTTCCTCAACTCAGACGTCTGGGTGGCTAGCTTTTCTTCACCATTCATTGTCCCTTCCACAAATTTTCAACAAACATTCCTGGAGCATTATGGCTAATAGCCTTAACTGTAAACTTAGAGTGTATATTTTGCACCACAGGTCTTCTCCAAAACGACGCAATTAGAATGAATAGCTCTTCCTCTCAACAAAATGGCAACCAACAAGCACAGTTTTTGATTTGGAGCGTCGCATCTGGAGCCGTTGATTTCGTCATCCTCATTGGGAATGTCCTCGCGCTCATCGTCTTCTCCACTAACAAAAAGCTACTACGCACGCGTGCTAACTACTTCCTGATAAACTTAGCAATAGCAGATATGATGGTTGGAATATTTGCCATTCCCATGTATCTTTACCATTTGATTGTCGCCTGGTATAACGGTGACAGCGTCTGGCAGCAATACAGTTACAAGATTTATAAAGTAGTTGATGTTTTCGTTGGATGTGCTTCAATATTCACACTGACTGTTATCGCCCTAGAGCGAGCGTTCTCGGTTTGCTTGCCTCATATTCACCGTCACTTCAGGAACACGGTGTACTACGTGCTTCTCGGCTTAATATGGCTGCTATCCATTCTAGTATCTTGCCTACGACTTCTTTTTGAAGAGCAGCTCCTTTCATTGCAGTTTTTCTTCTACTTTTTGTTGGTTTTCTTTGCCATTGCACTATCAATCATTTGCATCTCATACGTGGTGATATGGTTCAGAATGAAGTTCCGCTTTGCCAGGAGGGACAGTAACAAGCGCTCAACAGAACAAGATAGACGGCTTGCTGTGATGTTGTTTACAGTGACTGTAGTGTTTGTGTTCACGTGGATGCCGTTCCAAATCATAAACATAGTGACATTTTTCTGTGAACCTTGTAGGAACATGCCCAATGAGGTGGCATATTTTGCAAAATTCTTGCATTATGGGAACTCCTGTGTTAATCCTATGATTTACTCTTTTTTGGTTCCCGATTTTAGAAAAACAGTATTCAGAATCGTTAGGAAATTAGGATGTCGCTAAAGGTTTTGGAGTTTTCATTTTGAAAAAAAAACAGAACAAAACAAAACAAACAAACAAAAAAAACCTGATAAATCTCGTTAGGGTTGATGCGGTGATTGGCGCCCAGTTGTGTCTTAGTTATATGCCGTGTCTTTCAGTTTGCTCAAAACAGTACTGGCCATGGGTACAAACAGAAGTTTATAATCAGTAGAGGTCTGCATCTTCGGTATTAGGTCTCACGACAAGCCTTTTTACATGTATAAATCTTCTTTTTCGTTTTTTAGCCTTTTTTTCTTTTTATTTCTGTTTTGCTGTTGTTTTTGTAGGGTTTTTTTCCTTTTTTTCATAATTTTTTTTTAATTAATTTATTTTTTGTTTACTTTGTTGTTGTTGTTGTTGTTATTGCTTTTGGTGAACCAGTAGCCTGTTACGATAGATTTATTTTGCAACTGGCAGTAGAAATTCTAAGAAAAGCACTTATTGGATTAGTTTATTAGAGAAGTTAAACAAAATAGACCCTGAACTTACTTTTTAAACCATGCTAGTTAAATAGGAATTACGATTATACTGCAGACTTAAGAACTCTTGCGCACATATCCAGCACTACCTAAAGACGAGTTCTTTACAGCATTAAAATCAAAATATTTTTAAGTAGAATCTTAAATTAACTTTTCTTCAAATTCAGATATATTGTAAATAACCTTGGGTAGTTTAAATTCATGCATTAAAAAGTTGGGGTCACTGTGCTCGTTTAAAAGAAAGCGAGCATTTATTTAGTTGTCGAGCTTAGCTTGAGGGAAATCTTTAGCTTGCAGTTGAAATCCAAGATGGCGGAATCAAGATTGCGAAACATTTGTGTCGTGACGTCGTATAGGAATGAGTGACGTCATGATTGACACTTGGCTACCACTAAAATAAACAAGTTTAGATGCTATGCATGCCACGTCAGTTTGATAACTATTGAGTGATACTTTTGGAACCAGTACAAATGTGACAAGGGACCGCACACGAAAATGCCTCTGGTATACGTAGGATCTGTAAAACATCTGATCAGCCAAAAGTAGAAATGTAATAGCAATAAGCAATGACATCAATGAATAGTCGATGGGAAATTAATGACAATTTTATTTATATATTTTTATTATATTGCACATCAATTACAATTTTCCGGCTTTTTTTCTTTATTATTACTGCCTTTTATTTTTTTGTGATAAATCTTTACGTGGATAGTTCCCCACGTTAACAATAGGTAAATTAAAGAAGAATTAAAAATGTACCTTGAAGAAGTTGTTCTTCATTTAGATTTGTTGTGGTTTGCGCCGTCACGAGATTATATCGTTGTCTAATCAATGTTATCAAGACTGATAATGGCCTATCGATTATTCATCGATTAATTATGGATCATCGGTAATAATCAATGACTCTTCAACTGATTACCTGTCGAATGAGTTTGCTGATGTCAAAGATATCATCAAAAATAGATCCAAATGTTTACGGATTGGTCAACGTCACATGCAAAACACGTGATTGTGAATGAACATAACGTCGAAGTCGCGATAAGGAAATTTTGGACAGACAAAAACTGCACTGCAGAAAATACATGCACAATAGCATGTACAAAACGAACACTCATCGGATGCGAAAAGATCTGCTCAGTCTAGAAACAATGCTTAAAAATCTTCATTACAAACACAATTGTTTGTACCGGATCGGTCGCCTTTTTCTTTTTTGTATTCACCGTGCTAGCATCTGTTTGCTAATTAATATGGGATATAGCTGCGACCATGATCTCGAATCTAATTAACAATGCCATTTTCGCAACAAGCCCTCCACTGAAATTTTGATTTGCAAGTTGGCCACACTGTACAACCATAGTTAATAGAGGGAAATGGTTATGAAACCCAATAAAGTTCTTTGTTGTATGTTTTTGGTGGGTTTTTTGGCGTTGACCGCGTACAAAACACAATAGTTGTTTACTCCGTACTGAGGAACTAACCAACAGAAACGTTTTGGTTACGTAATTCAAGCATAGTGTATGAGCGTAAAACAAAAGATTGTGCACAGTCGTGGACCTTCGAACATAAATCTTGACATCTTTGTCTGGTCCTTTGATGATTGCCGGGCTTCATAACCAGTCCCCTCTATTAACTATGGTACAACAGACAACCAGCCGAGACAGATAGTCGCTTCATCACCAAAGACAAAGAAATATGACATTAATGGATTTTATCTTGAGAGTATCTCTTGTAATTAAATAACATTAAAATGATCCTTATCTGTATTATTGTAATGATGATCGTTAAAAGACTATTTTTGCGAAACTCTTTTTTTGTTCTCTATGTCACGTGACATTAAAAATTTGAACACATTTTGCAATTTATGCATACAAATGAAAATTCTTGCCGATTAGAAGTAGAAAGGGCTGTCTATAGTTTCTTTCTAAGGTACATTTTCCAGGATTAGCCACATTTTGCGTCAATTGAACAAGGTGCCATTGTGTGTACAAAACGCAAATTTAGTGTCATTATAGTCTTCGAGGCACAGAAAACGTCTACTTAGGCCTGAATTGAATTCAGCCGACATGAAACGTCTGAATCAACAGCGATAGAAAACTGGGTGCAAGGGTCCCAAGTAACATTTACTGACTAATGTCAAAAACAGCTGAAAGAAACTTCTGGGTGAAAGATTCTACTAATCGTATCTGTATGTGACAAGCGACAAACACTCTCAAATTAACGCCTAACGCAATGTAAATATAGATAGTTCAAAAGCCGATATTATGAATTCATCCATATCTGAATGTAAATATGTTCATTAAAGCGGCTTATTTGTAAATTGCGAATATGAGAGTCCCTGCTGGTTTAGTGTTTCAAGTTGCTGCAGGTCAACCTCTTTGCTTGTCTTCGCAGTGGATCAGAGTTGTCATGGGAGAATAATCTATAACGACTGTTCAGTTTTCTCAGTTGAAAAAGGACCTAAATTTCGTTTTAGCAGTTGGGCTGGTTTTCAGTTGCAAGACTGCAGTCGAGAACGTGTTTTCATTAAAACAAGGTAAGGAGTGATTTGTTGAAATGGACACAAGCTGATGGCCTACCCGCGGTGCCCGTTTCGGATTAGTTTATGATCACGCTAGGTTTGTTGGTTTGACTAATAGATGCATAATTGAATACGTATTTTGCACAAGAGACGTGAGAATACCAGTGACTTACTGACTGACATTAGCCATTTCACTTGAAAATAAAGCAGACCGAGACAATCTCGATCGAGCCACCTGTGTGCGACAGAGTTATCCGGAGAGTGCTTCTGAAGGAGGCCAAGGAGTTATGAAATAGGAGCGTGCCACCCAGCGTACTAAGCCATCTTAATACCCCTCTCTTCTTCCTTTTCATCTCTTCTGAAAACAAGTATCGTTCGTACAACTTCCCAGTTGTTTGTTTACAATTAAGACACGTATTTCGATTATGATTTTAGTTTGCATTTGATTACGGTGAAATAGTAAACAAATCCAGGCTTTAAATTCTGTATCAGGTGATTTAGTTTCAAGTGTAGACGCTCGTTTGTGATCCAAACAAATTAACCAAGTTTTTAATATGACTGATGGATTGGGAAATACGTTCAACTTAAAAGCTTCAATAGTCTGCATGCCAGCCTAGATTAAAGTCAACAATTCAGCTTAGACAGACGGATCAACTTTAAAGGTTGTATGGCAATCCTTGCAGAACAATATTCGCAGCCCACTTCAGTAGATCATAACTTCAGACCAGCTCTTCAAAGATGGCAGCAAACAAAGCTTAAAGCGAAAATAGACGACGCAGGCGATACTTTCTTCAATCAAATTCAAGAGACCATGATCTCATTTCTCTTGTCAAATTTAATTACAACAATGTTTTGATTACAATGTTTAATTTAATTACAACAATGTGTTGAAATTAAACAAAAAACATTAGAAAAATACTATCCACTAAGTAATATTACGATACTGGATCTCTGATAGCAGATTAGATTTATCTTTTAAGGAGTATTTCACTTTTATTTGCTTGGAACTGGATACAAGAAATCGCCAATTTTGCGTGACTTTTATAACACAGCTGGTAGTGGGTTATTAAAACTTGATATCTGAAGTGCACAGTTTCACACGTTATTTAAATGGGCGTATTTGCCTTTAGCAGCGGAAGTCGCACTATGTGATCTTATACTTTATGATCATAACTTTAGTTGGCCGTTGTCTGACTGTCTGCCTTTTTTTGGACTATCATTCGAAGCATTTTCAGCAATCAATGAAACACTAGGGAGTTGGAAATGTACCAGGGAATAACACCCTGCAAACAGAAGGGCGGAGAAAATGGACAAAGCGAGTTATGCAAACTTTGACAACTACTGGCGTGAATCCAAAACAAAATTTTATCATTCGGACCTGACGCGTAAAACAAAATATGATAAAATACCTCATCGGAACCAAATGCCCACCACCTCACACCCCACTCAAAACTACATGGAAAGAGGTAACAAGACTGATTAAAGCGATACGAAATTAGGATTAAGATAATAAGCCTCGATCATTTTTGCATATATCAAGGCTAGTAGAGTTATGTGAAAGCAAATAGCGAGATTTGAGGGTTTACTACGCGTATACCACGGTCATAAAACGACAACACACAAGAAAGAAATAACTCTGAGATGTCCTTATTGATCAGGTGAACCGGTCAAATTTACCCCACGTGACTTGTTGCAATCTAGTGAAAGCAGATTGTTCCTATTGCCTTTTGGCACATATATCGAGAGTTGTTTAATTTGATTTATTTATTAGAGCGTTTCCAATTGAGTGTTGAAAGTAATCCGGCAATTTGGTTTTGGTTTTGGTTTTACTACGGTTTGAGATTAGCTAAGTCAATTAGTAAGTAACTGGTTTGGTTTTGGTTTTACGACACCCCATTGAAAACCGCTCTATCACATGCTATTTACTGTAGATATCTAATTGTTTTCATTAAACCATTCAGTAAGAGTTCATCATATGCTTTCAATGAGTCCTGGCAATTCTAATATCATACCAATGAGGAGTATCGAACGGTCCCATTCGATTTAAAAGTGCTCACAAAATCTAGCCTTTGCTCGAATTGCTCGCAAAAATTAGATGAGGGATCGCTTGCTCGTGCTCGCAAAACTCTTGCGACAGCTCGCATGCTCGGATTCTCGTTAATGGCAAAACTGGGAAAAACTGGAGAAACATGCACGCGCTATAGCTATGAATGGCACGGCGGAAAAACCGCTGATTGGCTGAAAAATCCGTTGTCTTGGAGCATGCTCAAGCGCTCGCCGCTGACAATTTGCGGCTGCAAACGAGTTTCGAAAATGTCTGAATATTTTGCAAGCGGGAGCATAGAACAACAAGAAATATTGTGGATTTTTACCCAGTTAGAACTTCTACTTGTCGCAGAGAATGCGGATTAAGCAAAAGTAAGTATGTTGCAAATGTTATCCTGGTTTTGTTTCTTTCTTTGAGTGTAGTTCTTTGTGTTGTGATTTATTTTGTCCGTTGGTGTCGTGTTCATTTTGTGCCAAGCGGAAGCACCTGCTTAGCTTATTTACCATACTCTTCTGCTGCAGATATTGGAGTACAGATGACTTAACACAATGAACACAGCATAATGGAAAGCTATGTTGAAAGGTAAGCCAATTTTTCCTTCCTTTCCTTCCGTAAATGGTTGATTTTTGCAATTGGCAACATTTTCTAGTTCGTGTGACTTCGGNATCTTGTAAAATTATTTTTTGACCTGAAGGCAGACTTTTTTGGGTTTAATTAGTCTGATGATGATGAGGTTAATGAAATGTTTTTATTTATTTATTTTCTATTGAGTGAAACCTCAAGAAGTAACAATCCTTTTGTTGTACTTCATGATTATGTTGTACTACATAATTTAAATTTCCCAGTTACAAAGCTAGCAAAAATGACTGAGGTATTCACAATATAGGTTGAAAGAAGTTGCGTAGTCTTCAATGCTCTACACAGTGTTGTATAATGTATGAACAGTGCAGATACTAAGTTAATGACATTTCTTCTTGCAATGCAATAAGTATTCAAAGGATGAAGCCAAAGTATAGCTTAATTTAATTTTACATTTTTTCCTCTTTTTTTTGCACAGTTAGACCTCAGATTTTCACAGCTGTCCTCCTCTCTTTCAATTACTTGGTTCTCTGGCTGGAGACAATGTGATGTGGCCATGTACATCAACTTGAAGAAGTTTTTTTCGTGGATGAAATGAATGCCACTTCTTGGAGAGGATACTAAATGATATGTCCCCTTTTATAAAAAGATTATGGAATAAGAAAAGGGACAATTAAGGAACCAAATGCATGAAAAAAGTATTTCAGGATTCCCCAGTAATTAATAAAGAAAAATGTTTGAAGACAGAAAAATTATAGTTTGGTAAACAACTTGGTTGGGATTTGACCTCTTAAAAATTTGTAGATCATAATATTTTGGTGTGGAAGTTTATGCAATATTTAACAACAATATTATTCTTTGCAATCGAGGTGAATAGTGGCTGTTATTCACTGACATTGACAAGTTTTTAGTATATGTACAAAGTGATCTCAACAACAGATGAAAGGGAAACCATTAAAAGATAATTTAATTGACCTCTGAATTAAAGATGTGCACAATTCTTTACAGAATCTTCTAACATGACAAGTCTAGTTAACCTGCGATGAAATCCTCTTTGATTACAATCTAGCAAAATGGTCTTTTAACACTGTTCAAATCAGCAATCTAAATGAAAAGTCTGTTTTCAAAACAATTTCATTGTTCAATCAAAATTGTCACTTTCACTTAAAATAAAAATTCACAATTCAAAACTTTGAAGACTTTTTTGTATTTTCTGGTACAATATTTTCTTGTATTCTCAGGATTTCCGTTTAAGAAACACTGGTCGGACATAAGTTTTCGCGAGCCATTTTGTTATTGTTTGGATCACGCATCATTGATTATCACTCATTAGGGAGTGAATAATTATCAATTCCACAAGAGCATGTTGGATATGAGATAATAGATAGCCAACAAGGTGTGTAGCACTGAGTTGGCTTTAATCTTCTCATATCCAACAGGCACGAGTGGAATAATTGTTTTATTAAAAAGGCCCCCAAAATATAGAAAACTAGACTTAAATAACAATAAAAATGCTCAAAAATCATGCATACGTTTTCCATATTTGTAGAGCATGGTATAATGGCTCATGACCCCTGATGGCTAAAACAATGAAAACTCTCAAATTGCATTATCCAATCATCCAGTTTTTTAATGATGCTCACTGCTTGTGTGTTTGTGTTGGATTTTATTTTTATTTCGGTTTAGTTTTCTATATTTGGGGGGTGATTTTAATGAAACAATTCTAGTCACGCTTGTTTGGTCTTTTTGTTTGGGAATGGGAGAGGTTAACTTGACAGTAGTTTTTACATGCAGTTATTTTGGAATTGCAAATCTCTAAGTTGCATTTCAATCAGATAAACATTTTGCTGAGACATCATTGCNTTTGGGAATGGGAGAGGTTAACTTGACAGTAGTTTTTACATGCAGTTATTTTGGAATTGCAAATCTCTAAGTTGCATTTCAATCAGATAAACATTTTGCTGAGACATCATTGCCTGATCTAATTAATTTACCAAAAAGTGAATTGTGGTGCCAGAAGATAACCATATCCACCTCAAGGGAGATCAATGGAAATTCTGAGGAGTGATGGGTGGGGGGAGAATTCAAAACTTAAAATTTTGAAAAGGAAAGTATGAATGTGAACTGGCATTTTCAGTGGGGTGTTCAGAGGAAGGGGTTTGCTCCAAATGCATGTGTTATGATATGAGCCCTTGTTGCTCCACTGATGTTGAAAGAGATTTGAATATCTTCAGTATCTGCTGTAGTCTTATTTTCGACAGTAGTGGGTTATCAGCACTCAGCCCAGCACCCAACCTAGAAAGCCAGGTGATCACAATTTGTCTGGTCCCTATCCCTCAACCTACCAGAAGTACAAGACTCCAGCTGACATAGCTCATAGGGTCATGGATACAGAAACCATCCCTCCACAATAAGGATGTGACCCCTTGGGATGGTTGGAAGTTGGGGAGGGAGTAAACAAAATTTGGTGGCAGGGTCTGCAAGGGTATGGAATTTATCTGGAACACAATATGAAACAGTAGAATTTTGTTGCAGTGTAGGTCACTGAACCTTCTCCTTAAAAGTATCTAGGAGAGATGGCATACGGTATTTGTTTGCAACAAGACTTAAACTTACTATTGGGGGAGGAGGGATGGTGCAGTTTTCATGTGTTTTCTCACGATGGTGCTTTTTGCAAAAAGGCATGCTTTCCAATGTGGTCAGTGTAAGACGCAGACTTTGGACTGCAGGCCAGGTGTTAAAATGCAGACTGTAGACGTTTTAAGTGTTACTGTGTGTTAACAGTAAACAGACCAACCCTATTCGAGCTAAAAGAAGTGGGAGTTTAGCCTAAATAGTTCTGGGTTAGACTGAATATCACCTGGGTCAGCTAGGAAGGATCTAGGGGGCTTTGGCTGGTTCGGTGGAACCCCCTAGATTAGAAAAAAGAAATAAAACATAACATGCTAACTTGGCCTCAGAATAACAGAAATGCCATTTCCAATTCAAGGACCACAATTTCAAAACTGTCCAGCGTGAAAGCCACCGGTCCCTTTACAGGGGACCGCCTTTTGGCAGTTCTTATCTCGAAACCCCTTCTCTGTATCCGCCCCAGGGTTAGCCTGAATATTTTCTCCAGTTAGCCTGTTTAAGGATAGCTCTCGATAAAACACCATTCAGTTATAATAATGTCTGCAGTATGGTTTCCCCCTTACTCTGCAGTCAGCAGTGCACAGTCTGCGTTTTACACTGACTGAATTTCGATGTAACTACAAGCCTTCACATAAACGAATGTTCCGCCAGTATAACGTGGAACAAGAACCCCTTTTGGCGGATTGCCTTTTTCGTCAACAAAATGGAGAAATGTTTGTAATAACGAAGCCCGCAGCTGCGGGAAAAGCTGCGTAGCCAAGGAACAAGAATCGTA